TTTTCCATTTTACAGTCGCATGCGTTTAATCTCCAGATGTTTGATGTGGAGTTTCTCTTTATTCTTGTCACTGCCACTGGATATCTTGAGTGCATGGGGTAGAGGTCCAATTTATCCTGGATTTCATCCAGGGATCTTTTTATGATATAGCCAGGTCCCTAATCATACACTGGCCCTTAAGGGGTCCCCGCTGTATGATGCTTCAGGCATGTGTATGAATAACAATCATCTTACATCAAGTAGCTAGTGGATGGATAAACCATTGTGAGAAATGAGATAGGAATCAGCCGTCCTCAGTCAAGATGGAGCCTGCTCTCAAATGGCGGTGTGCCAACCAAGCGCACAGCTCCTCTCTCTCGTGCTCCGGCAGTCGCACAGCTGACCAGACGCATGTCGACATCCATCACCATCATACGTGACCTCAACTGGTCCGGTCCATGACCAGTGCTCATTTAGAGCGAGTAGTGCAGATGTAGTGACACTGTAAACATTGCTCGAGCGAGCATTGGCATGTATAGTAGCATTCACTGGGATGGGGATATTCACTGGTTTGAGAAACAAGATTATTGCAGCTTTGAGTTTGTGTTGCATCGTCAGACTGAAACCTTTGCCGTTGTTGTTGTGTTGAGGATTACTAAATGTTATCCAGCTGTGAAACTGCCACGTATTTATTGTCGATTTAGAAGATACCACTATTGCCATGTTCTCTACACTCTACATTGCTTCTCTACATGACTGAAATTTGTCCAAAACAAAGGCACTAGTTTGTTTTTTTCAGATACCTGAGAGCTGCATCTCATCTCCAAAGTTTCTCCCCCTCACTGACAGTGAGTCACCCCTAAAGTACCTTGACACAAGGAGTAAACAAGCCTGCCTCTGTTCATCAGCGTAATCTTGTTTGCTCAGAGGGCAGCGTCTGAGCAGGACAGCACACTGCCACAGGAATAATGCCACACGCTGGAGATATTGTGATCCCTGTTTTCATGGAGACGGGGTGGAGTTGCCCTGCTGCTGGGCTTGCTTGCACACAAATCTGTGTAACATCACTTGGCGACGGAGGATGACCTGCAAAGATGCGTCACGGCGAAACGGCATAGACTGATACAATAGAAAGAGCTATTTTTGAATGTTTTCCTTCAAAGGGGGCTACAATTCAGTCTCTGACAGCTTTAAAATGACCTTTAGCTGCAACAGGCTAAGGTTTGCTTCTTCCTAAGGACTTACCCTTTTGTAAAAACGAACCCCGGACTGTTGTAACTTGAAACGACTGCCTCCACATGTGGGGAGTTAAACAGTCAAAGTGATCTCTGGGGTTCATAATTACTCTCCCAGTGAGCAGCCATCGAAAGCAGAAGGAGAGGATCGCAATTGTGTCACGACAGAACAACTCATCCACCAATGCCACAGCTGCTACAGTCTGCCTTTTGTTTTTTACCCAGGTGCAGCATTTGTCCCCCAAAGCCTTGATTCAAACTCTTTGGTGTGAGGAACAGCAGATGGGGTGTTGTGATGGTGGATGGTGGATGGTGGGGTAAGAGTCACATGGAAGTTTTTCTTGCAAAAATAGAACTGTAAGAATGATAAAAACAGTTTCAGTGTCAACTCACAGCTTTACTCGGTGTCGTGGATTTTGTTTTTCATTTCTTATTCGTTCGGATAAGTCGGATGTCAAGCGCTGCATAGAATACAACTTTAATATAGACAACAGAACAATGTGGAGTGACGGCAAAGAATAAAAGACCGCATATGAGGAAAGGACAGGAGGTAGATCTCAAGGAATGAGTGGAAATGGAACAACAGCATGCAGAGTGTTGGTGTCAGACGTCTCATTTCACAACGTTATACTCCTCACCACCTGCTATCTTCAGTCTTTCACTGCGTGTTTTGTTTCGATTTCACTTCAGCAAATGTCGATGTCAGCAAAACATCGATTACGTTAAACGGTAATGATTGCGAGAGACATACTGTACACCACCAGTTTAAGCCTTAAATACCTTCTCTGCTTGACCAGTGGACGTGTCTTCCCTACGGCAGATGGTCGGCCTGGTGGAGACCGATGCACAAAGAGGTTTGCCTTATGTAGATGTACAGTGCGGCGCGGTCGTGGGGAAACAGTTGCTTAGCATTTCAGTGACATTACGTTTGTCGGACACATGGGTGGCATCTCTATTGTGGATCCCGAGATAGCACTGAAATATAAGACGTTATTGAGCAATACACACTTTCATTTGATTTCTCTCTGGCAGGAGGAAACGGATATCCAAGAAGTCGCTGTAGACGCAAAATATTCAACGTGTTTTTCGCTGAAATAAATTATACAGTACATTATACAAAGCTCATTCGGGTGTTCTAAATATTGCCAAGTTCAGTGTGGAAAGTGGCGCACATATTTTTGTGTCTCCACATCATTTATACATCACGACCCAGCTGACATATCTGGGGCTTTGCTGTTCCAAACCGCTGCCTGTCGTAGAGGAGAAACACTCTTTTGATTGGCAGGTTAAACCCTTCAAGGTCAGCTTGCTCTACCGCTCTCCCTCTGATTGTAGATTACTGTGGTAATATCTCTCCTGTGGAGTGTCTCTTCCCCCCCGAATGGTTCTCAGTCCACACATATCTAAAGATTGTGTCCTTGCCTCCTCATCTTGTCGTTACATAAGCTACTGCACAGGTTGTTGAGCATGGAGATTGTGCTGTATGTTACATTTGCCATATCTGGGGATGCTGTCAGAGAAATGAATGTCATTACTGATATGGGTCGAGGGAAGGGGAATGAGATGTGGTTGCATGATTTCAAACTGCCCAACATTTGCTTGGGATCCATATTCTTCACTTGAAATGCATCTTTTAAGTTTTTCTCTACCCAAGATCTAGTCAAATAATCGGTGCTCAAAGCCAATAAATGATGGAAACTACCTGGAGAAATAGTGAATCTACTGAAGAAGTACGTCAGCTTCTTGTTTTGGATGCTTGAGACGAGAGCTATACTCTTATGCGTCCAGGTAAATGTAACGGAGAGGTGGCTGAATACCTCCAAACAGACAGCTATTACCATTGTGAGTCCCAGTATTTTGTGGCAAAAAGTGATGAGCAGAAGGATTGGAGGAGAAAATGTGAAAACACAGCAGGAAACAGGAACTGTGTTCTATGAACCCTCACAAAAGGACTTGTGCAGATGGCTGCTGAAAGCCACAAATACTGAGCTGCTAGCGACTAATATCACGATGACATGCTCATTGTGTTCCGATCATGCTATTTGTTATGCATGCATATTTAGCAGCTCATTTCAAGTGATGACGAATCATTGATTTGTGCACACGGCCGTAATGAGACTCGCTATCGGGACAGCCTGCGCTCTCCGCATGCAATTTACATGTGAGAACAGCTGGAAAGTGTGTGAAGGTGTCGAGAGCAGCCAATCAGTGCCCGATAGGACCCAATATACAACTAATATATAACGTTATTAGGAGAAATGGAAAGGGCTGACTCATGTGAGGAAGCACAACATGTTCCTGTGGTTTGTATCTAAAAATCAAGGACACATTAGGAATTATTCCATGTAAAAAAAACACTTAAATGCTGCTGTATGCAACTGACATACCACTAAGGGGAGGAGATTTATCCTGAACTACCACATATTTCATAATAATGGGACTCATTTTAAACTTATATTATGATGTGATGCATTTGAAATGAATGTGTCTAGTTCTGTGTTAAATGGAATGCATTAACCTTTTCACTTTCCGTCATAATTTATATATTCTGATAAGGCATGGCAGTGAAATACGAATGAATGTGTACTTTTCCTTTATACTCCTGCCAAGTAGAGGTAATGGCTATTAATCTTTGCATCAGTTGGCAGGTCAATGCACTTTTCACAGCATGAGGGGGAGAATGAATGGGATTGATCAGTAGTCGTGCCACATTTACACAACTTCACTGCAGTGTTAATAGTCTCATCACCTCCGGTCCTGGCGGAATATTTTTGTATAACGAGTTTTGGGTCCTTAGAACAGGGATGTTGATTTGCAGTAAATTTGCAGCAGACCTTCTTGGTCTCCAGAGGATGGTTCATGATGATGTTGGTCACTTACTGACCTTTCTTTTACCACAATCAGTTCCACTTTTACACGAGACATCTAATGGACGGATTGCTATGAAATTTACCAAACAAATTCCTTGCTTTTTAAAAATCATTTCAAACTTTGTAGACAAACTAATGGCTGCATAAGCAATAGACTTTACGAACATGCTGTTCACCCAAACTTTCATCCTGTTTCCAGACAAATAATTGATTTTTGCTATTTTTGGTGCCATGAGATATGAAGTAATTGTCCCAGATTTATTTATTTTATGCTAATGCATCTAGTTTGTCTCTTCAACAATTGCAATCCCAAAGATATTTGCTTTTCAGTCCTATAAAACAGAAAATGAGCAAATCCTCACATTTGAGATGCTGTCGGATCAACCAATCAATTAACTGACAAATTATTCCAGCTCTAAACCAGTGACTTTTGACCCCATTTAAAAGACTTAATCACGCTTTATCAGCCTTGTTCGAGCGATGTACAGCAGTGGTGGTGAGCGTAGACAGCACCCAGACCCCCGACATTACCCACCAGGGCTGTACTGGAAATCTTCCCACACCTCCACAGCAGGCGGCATCTGTTGGGAGGAGATCCCCAGGTGCTCTCTGCACTGGTTTTCCAACACATTGGCTGGTCTCCCCTGGCAGTGCCCTGAATATGGCCAATTGTCTGTGAAAACAGTCCATTGATAATGATAATGGATATCTGCCACCCACGCACTGACATGCACAGATTACTGAGCTGATGGAACAATCGACAGGAGCGAAAATATTTATCTCTCTCTGGAAACGCAAAGCAGGTGTGTTGTCTTAGTATATGTATGCAAGCTTACTGGGAGAGCTCACGTAAGATGGATTGCTGTTTTTCATTCATTCGTACAAACATCTTTTCATTCGTTTTCATCTCCTCTAGATCTGAGTGACTGCCGGTGAGAGTGGAGGACGCATTTAAAGAGACACTGCAGCGGGCATTGTAGAGTTAAAGGTTAGTGTCTGTTCCTTTTTACACATCTATTTTCACTGAAACATATGCAGCGGTAGGGCTCCCATTGAGTGGCACTTCTAAATACAGAGCAACTAAAATGACAGATTTGTGGTTGCATTAGAATATTGTATTGTATATCATAAGGTGGTTTGCCATGAGTGTGGAAGATGATGTGCCATAATCATTTACTCACATTCCACTTGGAAAGAAATGGGTGGTTTTACCCAGTGTGGACTCACTAAAGCTGCTTAGTTGCATGTTTTGCTGCTTTGATTAAAGCCTAATTGACTGGAACATCCTCAGCCCAAACCCAAAGTGTACAGAAGGAGGCTGACGCTGTGAATATATGAATCGAAAATTAGCAAGACTGCTTTGACCCGCGAGGACAATACTGCTGCTTGGTGGACTAATTATGGATGTTTAGATGCATGTGTGCGGAAAACCAGCGAGCTGTCGGTTATGCAGATTACTTTCTGGCAAACATAGCTGTGTCGATGGCTTACTTATGGGTCCAATACCTGCGTTGAATAATATCTTATTGATTTTACCTCATCTCAGAGGGGAATAGAATCAGTACACTATATCCACCTGCCATCGTACAAGCCGTGTTATCAGGAAGAATCAGTTGTCGTCCGGGAATCTGACGCCAACTGTTTCTCATGCTGAATACTAAGTACAGAGGAAGACTTGGGGCTTTGTTGTTCATATCCGCACATGCCCACATTAATATTAATATGGAAATGTGTTGAAGTCACATGTACAGTGTTGGAACAAGTAGCTCAAAATGCAAGAATACATCAAACTAAAATGGTACATGGACAGTGACTTTATTCATGCTGACGTATGGGTTTTTATACCACCTGGTTGGTTCAATTGTATTTTATAAAGGATTCAAATCTGTAAGATCCTTCCTGCCCTATCAACCACCATCGTCTCACTCCACTCTTCTATGTTAAAGTCTGTATTCAACCGCCTATGCTGGTTCAGACGGGGTTCACTGGCTATTTACTGAGGCATTGTGAGTGATTCTGGCCTTGTTAAATCCTATTTTGTTTGGTGAGCGTGGACCTCAGCCTCCTCCAGGCCTGTTGAAGATGGAGGACGAAGCCGGCGTGCCGACTGGGGACCCAGAGAGCAGGCCAATTTTTCATCCTTATTGCCCGTGACATATCCAAAGTGGCGGAGTGCCGTCCACGGAGAGACAGCGGAAGGGGAGAGGGAGAGAGAGAGAGAAAAAAGTGAGAGGCATGCTCAGATGGACTGGGAGGAGTGTACCTCCACTTCCGCCTTCTGTAGTCCTGAGCAGGGCCCCAATCTTCTTGTCCTAAACAATGCAATTCGCTAGCGTTCAGCAGGGCAGACGAGGTTAAACTATCAAGTCCCAGGGTGCCTGTCTCTCTCTCTCCCTCTCTCTCTCCTCCGCCTTCTGGCTTGTTAGTTTAGCCAGAGAATAAATGCAGGTTTGAAGCTCACAAACAGAGAACAAAGAGTGTATTAGTGTCTGACTTACTCCATGACACGGACTAAATGAAGACGTTAAACACACCTTCTACCCCCGTCTTTCACCATGGCTTGTCTCTGCAGGCTTGAGCTTCCGTTGCACGGGGAGAATCTCTCCTGGAGATGTCATATTTGTTGAGGCCATCATTTCAACCACATGTGAATCATTTGTCTCTACAGAATGCGTGTAATTCTTAAAATAATTCAAGTGAAAATTGTATTTTGATTAAGTCAGATTCGTGTTGAGTGAAAATTTGTGCCAATCAAGTGTCGTCATTTTAGCTTGATTTTAGTCTTTTTTGGTGCGATTACTTCTTCTTCTACTCTCTTAATTTCATGCCCTAAAGAGTGTATTTCCTTGCTGTGATTCTGTCTTGATTAAACAGGACGCTGAGATCCGTTCTGTCACATGCAGGCAGTGTGTTGATGGAGGGCCGTGAAGGGTACTGTCAAGGTGACTTCTGTGGGTGGTGAATAGGGGGTGGGATCCATCTCAGGGGGGTGTGACTTTAGAGAGCCTACGTAACTGGGACATTTTCATCACAGAGACCCCCCCCCCAGCCCCTCCTTTGCTTTCAGTCTCACGGGTTGAGATTAGGATCTCTTGTTGTAATTATTGCTGTGTGAGGCGGCCTAATTCTGCCAAGTCGATAGCATCACACCCCGTCAGGTGCCGTAGAAGGTATCTGGCAGCAGCTCCTCATGTCCTCGACATGTTCCAGTGGGCTGCAGGGGGACGGTAATGGCGATGTTATGTGATACGTGTCTTGCTTCTGGAGGACTGCCAATCAGACCGTTTCCCTTTCCTTCCCCCCAGTAATCGCAGGAAGTGGAAAAGATGATGGAAAAAATAAAAAAAAGGACAACTCCTGGGTGTCTGGGATTTTTAACACCTGATGCACAATGAGGGCATCAATCATCCTCCGCAGTCCCAGGAAACATATGGCTGGCCGCCTTTCCCCTCCCAAACACAGGTGCTTGACGGACAGAGTTGATTCCGCTTAATGAGCAACTGTGCTGCCGTCGTGTACTGTATCTGTGCGGATCTAACCACCAGACAGAGTTCATATCCACCAAAACAACTTTTGTCCATATTCATTTCTCAAAAAGACCGTTTCTGTGTGTAGACTAACAGTTGGAATTTAAGGAGTGAGAGACAGGGATTCAAAGATGGGTGTGGTTCGACCAAGGGCGCCAAAAGTAAACATGTCATTTAACGTGTTTCAGTGAGGCTACTATCCCTGGCTAAGAATGTAAGTCTGTGTTTGAGCAAGATGTGATTTGGTTGAGTGTGTGTCGTTGAATCCACACTCTTGCACGGATGCTTGTCCAGAACGTAGGTAGCTTTGGGATGTGATCTTCCTGCTGCAGCACTGAACTCGTAGTGATGCAACATAATGATGGGTGACTGTCACACTGCACCAGTTGAGAAATGAATCAATTTAAAATAGCAATCCCTCACTAAGCTCAAGTGGCATCAAGATGCGTTTAATGAAGAGCTTCATGGGCATTTTAGTGGATGATTTTTATTTAAGTATCATGCTGGACATTTTTTTCTTAATATCGTAGCTCAGAACTGAGATTTTACATGTGCAGTGAATGTGAGATTACATTTGGGAGTTGTTGTTGGCGTGTTTTATATGTCAGTTTGAGCAGAATCCATGGTGGATCGTGACTTTCCTGCCTGTGTGGGAGCTGCTGCTACTCCCACACATCTCTCTCTCTCTCTCTCTCTCTCTCTCTCTCTCTCTCTCTCTCTCTCTCTCTCTCTCTTATTCCTCTCCTCCCAGATCAGCTGGTCTTTAACCTCAGCACATTTCTCACTTAACCACAAATCTAGTCACAACTTCCATTCATAAATTGCAAGTTAGCCGCGTGATTGATTGCTGATGGATGTTCCAACCCTCGTCTCCGTCAACGCGTGAAACCACAAATCACACCACTTAAAACCTGTAGTGCTGTCAATACATGTCTGGGCTAGCGTAGCCTATATTATGCTAACAACATGCTGTAACATAATGTATGCCTTCTCCCTCCAAGCACTCACACAGGTATGCCACTATCTGGATGCGTGATGAGAATCGCAAGTCCCAATACGTCGTCTGATGATGCTGTGTGACTTAAATCACATATTTACCTCGAACATGATGTATCATGTGTGCTTCAATCTATATGTCGAAAATGCGTCTTCTTGGAACAAATTCTGCATATTCTGAAATTTTCATTCTCGCTGACCTTGTTCGCTCTGTGTGGCTGGGCAGTAACGGGGTTGCTAAGGTAATTTAATTACCACACCCTCCACGGACAATGGTGATTACTGCTCTCTAAATCCCCACTAATCCTCCTTCTGAGTCCCCGACACAGACTCGGCCGGGGCGCTCTAACAGGCAGCGCTGAGTCCTCCATCCCGCCCTCAAACAGGGGCCCTCCAAAAAAACAACAACACACTGATCCCCTCTGCACAAATAGACGCTCCTTGGTGTTGATTTGTGTAAGGCGTGTACTCTCCATACTGTACTGTGAGTGTCTCTTTCAGTGCAGAAAGGGCTCTCGTCATCAGTCCCACTGAATTCCTTTCACGTTGCTTTTCCCCTCCTCGTGTGTGTAAGTCAAGGGGGCTCTCAGGTCAAAAAGGCCACTCATCGCTCCGTAAGACTGTCGTAATTATCACTGCTGGGATGAATAAGATGTGACCTCTGTGAGCAGCGGCGCCTGGTGACTGGAGCTCAAAGAGAAAGAGATGAAGGCTGATAGACTTTCTCCAGAAAGCCACTGGAGGGATCGGCACGCTGGGTTTATGTTCAGATTAGGTCTCCACCAACTCCAGAGGCAAATGTCTGTCTCTTTAGCTGCTTAATGCTCCACAAGCTAATCCCTAACTTTGTCTGTCTGCCGTTTGATGCCGGGCTGCTGACATTATAACCCACCGGAGTTGTTAGCAGTTTAAAAATTGAAAAAATAAATAGTGAAAAACAAGCAGCTCCTCTGTCTTCCTCTGCTCTCCTTGTAACCTACGAGACCAGCCAGACATCAGTGACCCCAGCAGGTGTTGTGTGTTTAACTGTGTGTACTGTACGTGTGGGAGGTTGTGTACAGTATCTGCAGCATGCATGCGAGTTAGAGAAGCCGGGTGTTGGTGAAAGGAGCACCTGTGTGTATTGAAAAAGTTCTCTGAATAGCTCCATATTTGAAGAGCCACTTATCCACTGATAAAGCTGTAAGTGATTCGTGGCAGCTTCCTGCCTGCAGTAGAGAGAGAGAGAGAGAGAGAGAGAGATTAAATGAGAGCATCAGCTGTAATTAGGGCTACTTTCCTCCGTTTGGAAGAGCATGTGTGTGTCTTAGAGAGAATTAGCACTGGATACCCTGGGTGGGCCGAAGCAATATAACTTAAATTCATTAAAGTTCGATTTTTTACAATTCGATTTTTTGTGGTATTAACAAAAAGACTACATCTGGGATTGATATGGAGGGTGACCAGGGGTGCTTATTTCTTTTTTAATCAAAGTGCTGCCAAGCGTGCTGTTTGCAGAGGGAGGGGGTGGCCGTATTCTTTATGGCATGTGCACCAGGGCTACACATGAAAACAGTTTTCCGACAGTTTGCAGGAGCCTGGAGTTTGCGTCCACAACAGGCATGTAAATAAAGTTTAAATCTTTATTATAGTTTTTATTAACTCCAACCACAATCTTCTCCTCATCTCAACACCAAGTGTTTAGTTGCCTTACCTAAACTATACCTTAACCATAGTTTATTTTCCACAGAATCATTTCTACCTTCTACCCTCTATGCATGATGCATGTATGTAAGTAACGGCCATTTTGTATTTACATTGTCCACGTTATACAATTTGAATGTTGAGATTTGTGTGTAATAGTTAAAGTAAGGTAAGCAAGGTAGTCCGTAGTCACTTTTGTTGTATAGACGAGTTACAAAAGCTTCACTTCCTCTCTCTCAGTGTTTGAATCGGACCCATTATTTCCACTGTCCAAAGGTGACCATTAAAATGCTCCTGACATTTGGGAAATTGTCCTTTTTGTTCACCCAGCTCCCTTTATTTCACCGCCTTTCTCCTCTAAATGCCATTTTGCCCTTTTCGTTCCTCTCTGACCCCGGTGACCCCTCGTCCTCCTTCTTCCTCTCTTGTTCATTCTAGGTTCACCCTGACAGGCTCCGGGTTTAAAAGACTCGCTTTCTCAGCTCTTCTGTTCTGTTTACGTGGGCGTTACAGTAGATTCTGTACTTAGAAGTGGTTCCACTTTGGGTAAAATGAAAACCTTTTTTTTTTTTTAACTGCTTTTTGGTCATTATGTCCAGTTTCAACGTACCTTTTTAAATTTATCGTTATTATGATCCCCAGTGTTTCTGGCCCTGTCTTGATGTTTCTGCATTACATTTACCGTCATCACCAGTGTCCAGCATGAATTCTCCAAAATACCAGAGATACCAAATAAAGTGAGAATTTAATGGATTCTGGATACAAGACGCGCCACCACTCTCAAGCTTTCCTTTTTATTCAGGAAATATTCTTTCCAGCAGAAAACTGGATGTTTTACACATTAGAAATCTTCTTCTTGGTCTTTTAATGCAGTTATTTTAACACACACAGATAAGAGGTGCACGTTTCAAGCTTTCTGTCGTCCACAGAGGGAAGTAAATCTGAGACCCGGTTCAGTCATTATAACTAGCTGCCTATGTTTTTCCTGTTAAGAGAGCTATTCATCTAAAAATATAGACTTCCTAGAGTGTTTACTCTCCTTCTCAGAAAAATAGTTTGGCCAAAACTATTATCTATCTTCATGCCAATGTTGGAGGTGTACAATTTCCAGCCTCTAGCTGTGATAGCGGATGTCTTCTGCAGAGCTGGGATGTGTGTTTAGCCAACTTTGTTGGGCCAGACAGCTGATATTCGTCATAGCAGGGCGGCCTGCAGCACGGTGGCACTGCTCCTGCTCATTAAAGGGGAAACTATAAGAACGTGGGCCACAAATCTGCACCGGCCACGTCACCTCAGCCGGCCATCGATCCCCTCGCAGCCACTACAACACACAGACACACACACACACACACACACACACACACACACACACACACACTGAGCCAGTGAACCGACGCTTATGAGTAGAGGAGCATGCTGTGCAGTGTCCAGGCAGGGTGTTAGTTGGTAATCATTAACACAGACTCCCTGTTTGCATTGTCTCTTACCCAGCTAGATGTCTGTTAATGCATGTGCGTGTGTGTGTGTATTGTCAACAGTGCCATGTGTCTCGCTGCGCTTTATCAGCCCGTGCGCTTTATTTACACGCTGGGTCTCTCCATAGACAGACACACGTGCACATACAGAAAATACACGTTTAGCATCTGTTCCCCCGCAGTCGCACATCTCTCAGAGTTACAGTTTGCTGCAGACTTCCTGTTCTCCAGCAGCTCACACATGAGTGTAGACGAGCGATGTATCGCAGACCGACCTTTAACATGCCTCATAATTAATCCGTCGACAAAACAAGCAAATGCTTCCAAGGTAAATCCAAGGTTTTCCTGAGGAGAGGATTGATTGGATGCGAGATGCGTTTACAAAGATAAAAGGAGAAGCATTCATAGGAAAAATCAAATAGGATTGCAATTCTCAAGACCATCACCAGTATTTATTTTGATAATGATTTACTGCAACACAATAACTGGACTACACACCAACAGAGATACGCAGGCTCAAAAGGGGGAACCAATCAATACATAGGGTTCAATCAATAACTGTATATAACAGATTTTTATTCTCAAATCACTATTAATTCAATCTGTTTGATTGTGAGCTTATGATTGACCTTAATGGATAAACACCCTGCCAACAAATAACCTGATTGGATAAGCTCCGATCAATGGCAGTGGACCATAAAGTCCCTCAGCATTTAATGCCAATAAAGCACCATTTAACATTTAAAGTCGGGTGCCGTCCCATTCTCCGTGTCCATTCTCAGTGGTTCAAATGAGACCCGACTCCTCGGGCAGATTTTATTGCTGCTGCTCCACTTTTTTGCTTATTGCATCTGCCCCCCCCCCCCCCACCCCCCTGGGAGATCCGAGCGCCACATGCGGTCCGGCCGAGCGTCGGATGGGACGCCAGGCGGCTCTTTGAGGCAGAGCCTTAGCATACGCTTACTCTGGGAATGCCCTTGACTCGCTGTCTGAGGAATGGGACGTGAGCAGCATCAAATACACCGGCGGGACCAGAGGAGGGTTAGGGAATAGGTGGAGTGAGACGGAAAGATGGGGAGAGGAGGATGGAGAGGATGAATAAAGACGAATAAGTGAGATTGAGCGGCAGTTATGGCTTTCAAAAGGGAGTTTGAACTGTAATCATACACAGTAATATTACCAATAATCATCAATCACATCTGACGTTACAAGAACAATGTGCTTTGTCTTACTCCGAAATAAAATAAAATGCTCCACAAAACAAGAATAAGTTTGCTGATGGTGTGTGTAAATGCACATCTCATAGTACCTTCCACTGACTATTTGTTTTCACGCAGCAGAAGGTGCGAGTGGGTGGGGGGAAAAAAATGTCAGAAAAATAGTGAGCTGAGAGATAGAGAGGGGTGTGTGTGTGTGCATTCTGTCTGACGGAGGAAGAGCAAGCGAGGGAGAGACGGAGAGGAGAGCGAGAGGGGGAGTCGGGGGAGGGAGCTGGAGTAGGTGGGCGGGAAGAGAAGAGAGGAGGCGAGTGTCACGGACAGAGAGAGAGAGAGAGAGAGAGAGAGAGAGAGAGAGAGAGGGAAGGAATAGTGAGCTGCTCGCTTGCCGGAGCTGTTGACTGGGTGTTGGAGTGTGTGATCGAGAGCGCTTCTTGAGCCGCTGTGTGAGGGGAAAAAAAGTGGACATTGCTTTTTTTTTCAGCCTTTTCTTTTCAGTTTTTTTCTTTTTCTTTCTTCTTAAAGTGCCACATCGAGCTCCCCTCAGCGAACGCAGAACTTGTGTCAACCCCCTTCCTGGGATTGTAAAGAGGACCCAGGGACAGCGTGCTGCCAGGTGAGAGGCAAACAAAACACAATAACAGGAAAGCATTGCGGGGATGGAGATAACATGGTTGTACACGGTTATATTTTGGAATGAATGTGTGAATGAATGAGGTGTGTGTGTGTGTGTGTGTGTGTGTGTGTGTGTGTGTGTGTGTGTG